GTGTGTGTGTGTGTGTGTGTGTGTGTGTGTGTGTGTATTCCTGGTACCCACAAAGGCCAGCTAAGAGCATTTGGGATATGGCTGGCTTTCTGCAGAAAATAACGTACAGACTCAGGGGAGTGTTTACTAGGTAGTAAGGTGAAAGTTAGTAATAGGAGGCAATGAGGTGAAAGTTAACAGGCCATATCATGTAGTGAGAGATCATTGTAGTTCTTTACCATTATTGTGAGTGAAATGAGAAGCTGTTGAGAGTTGTCATGGGCAGGGGGTGTCATCATCAAATTAGTTTTAATAGGATAGCTTGGATTAGGTGTATCTTTCTCCCGCAGGTTCCCCTATCCCTTGAAATAGTGTCCCTTCTGCTTTCATTCATTTAAAAAAAATCTACATTTTATAGATGAAAGAAAACATTTTATTTGCCTATCTGGCTTCTTTGGCTTAATATAATAATCTCCCATTCCATCCATTTTCTTGCAAATGACATTATTTCATTCTTCTCTACAGCTTAATAAAACTCCCTTGTGTATTATATACCACCTTCTCTTTGCCTGTCCCTCTGCTGATGGACATCTAGGCTGGCTCCATATTTTGGCTAGTTCAAATAGCACAACACCTAACACAGACGGGCAGACACATCTCTGTGTTATGCTGATTTGGGTTTCTTTGGGCATGTACCTTGTGCTGTGGTCTAGCTGGATCCAAACGGTAGTTTTGTTTTTAGGTTTTTGAGGAACCATACTGAAATCCGTTTGGCAGCACTAATTTGCACTCTCACCAACATGTTTGAAGTCCTCCCATCCCTGACAGCATTTGCTCTTGGTCCTCTTGCTGATAACCACCTGATGGGGGTGAGGTGGAGTCTCTGTGTATTTTTAATCTGTATCTCTGTGGTGGTAAGGATATTGGACATTGTAAATATGGAGGGTTTTTTGCCAGTAAATTTGACTATTTTTGACTTTTTAATATTTGAGTTTGTTATATAGTCTGGATATTAATCTCCTGCCAGGTGCACAGACAGCAAAGATTCCTCATGTTCTCTTGTTTTCTCTCTACTCAGTAACTGTTCCATTTGTTGTTCAGAAGCTTTTTTTCTTGTTTTTTTGAGACAGGGTTTCTCAATGTAGCCCTGACTGTCCTAGAACTCTTTGTAGCCCAGGCTGGCCTTGAACTCAGAGATCCACCTGCTTCTGCCTTCCACGTGCTGGGATTAAAGGCGTCTACCATTGCCACCCGGCTGTTCAGAGACTTCAATCTGACTCAGTCAATGAAGTTACTCTGTGAGACATACAGCCTTAGCCAATTTCATTGTTATGTGAACGCCATAGAGTGTACTTCTACAAACTTGTGTGGTATATAGCCTACTAAACACTTAGGCTCTATGGCATGAGTTCAGCCTGTTGTTCATAGAGGCAGAGTAGACAAAAGAACTCAAGAATAATCAAGACAAGAGAAAGTGGTATGTATAATCATGAGATACTGTAAACACTGCATGTATGAGGCGGCGGCTGCCAGTGTAATTCAGTGTTTATGCTTTACAGTGAATGTTATTTGTATGAGTAATATACTATGAAATAATAGAAAGTATAATATAAGAACTACATAAGGCAGTTAGCAGTCATATATTATAGTCATCAAGTAGTATGCACTATGCATCATTGTATGTGGTGTTCTTTTATATGACTGCCAATAGAGTAGGGGTTGGTTGTGCCATTAGTCTGGGAAGAGGAGGAGCTGAAATTGAGTAGTTTAGTGAGGTCGAAGGAAGCAAGACAGTGGTGTTCTGGGAGCCAAAACATGAGAAGACACATTCACCAGCTGTGTCCAGTGTTGCTGAGGATGGACCGTTGGACTTCAGGACCAGGTAGTTGGTAACCTTAATGCAAACAGTTTAGGTGGAGTGGTGGCAACCTTATTCAAGTGGTTGAATAGAAGAATACGAGATGGGGATATATACAGTTCTTGTGAGTTTGGCTACAAAGTGGGAAAAAAAAGTAGAGTATTAGCTAATAGGGACTGTGAACTCAAGAAAGTCTTTCTTTTGAGACGGGGTCTCATGTAGCCCAGGCTGGCGTCCAACTTACTACACAGCTGAGGATAACCTTGACTTCTTGGTTCTTCTGCTTGCATCTCACAAGTTCTGGGAGGATTGCAGGTGTGGTGCCTGGCTCCTTGATTTTTCTTTCTTTTAAACATGAAAAAAAAAAGATTCGTTTATTTTGTGTGTGTGAGAGTGGTTTTGTCTGTATGCATGTATGTATACCATGTGCATGCCTCATGCCTACAGAGGCCAGGAAACGGGATCGGCTCATCTGCAGCTGGGGTTACAGACGACTGTCAGTCACCCGGTCAGTGCTGGGAACCAAGGTCCTGTAGGCCAGCAGCCAGTGCTCTTCACCACCGAGCCGTTTCTCCAGCCCTCCATGCTTTTTCTGAAAGTGGGAAAGTAAAACAATGCTTGTCTGTTAATAGGAGTGATCTAGCACTGAGGCAGAAAACGATATTTCAGGGGAGAAAAAAGATCCTTGTTTGAACAATGGGCATAAATAACAGTACATTTTCTAATTCCTTTGTTTCATGTGAGTAGGATTTTTAGGTGGAATACTCTGCTATTTTAATTAGGAGATCTTTTGTCTTAATCCTTAAGGGTTCTCCTGTAAAAACAGGAGTCATTCTTCATTTTACAATGGTCATATAGTGATGGAGTTGTAGTTCTTATTTCCTTAAACATTATTTCCAGATGAGGCTTTGTTTTTCCAACCATCATCTTTCCAAGACCTCTGACATTTGAGTCTTGCTTCCAGAAAGCATGCCTTTTTAACCAAAAAGTAAATAACAATGGAACTGGAGGACTGGGCTGAGCTGTAACATAGTTGGCATCTAATTGTATGTTATAGAAATGATAGGTTTACCAGGAAGTTATAAGTAAGAATAAATCACAGCAGTTTAGTAAGGCATTCGGAAGTGGTGCCAGGAATAATTCACAGAAATGGCACTTTCTTGGGTTTAGTATCACATATAGAATAAACTGAAGTCTTGTATCTGAATATGTTTTCTATTTATTCATTCATACCTCCTTTCAAAAATATTATTGAGCATGTATTTTATGCCAGATTGAGGATATAATACTAAACCTTCATGGAACTTAGAGTTTAAAATATAAAAAATGATGATGTCCTCCATAAGGTCATGGGGCAGGGTTGGCTGCATAGCCCCGGCAAGCCTAGACCTTAGGATCCTCCTGCTTCAGCCTCCTGAGTGCTAGAATTACAGATGTGTGTTACCATAGCTGGCCAAGGGGCATGCTTTTGTGTCACTTTTCTTCTTAGGGCTACTTAAGTAAATTACTGCAGGCCTGAGGTCTAAACAACAGAAGTTTAGTTCCTTTCTGTCTGGAGTTTCAAGTCTAAGATCAGGGTCTGGCAGGTTTGTTTTTAACTCAAGCCTGTGGCCAGCTTTAAACCCGGGCTCCACATGGTCTTTTCTGTGCACATTTAGCCCTCATGTTTTTCAATGTGCTCACATTTCTCCTCCTCTTTCTCTCTCCTTCCTTCCTTCCTTCCTTCCTTCCTTCCTTCCTTCCTTCCTTCCTTCCTTCCTTCCTTTTTTCTTCCTTCTTCCCTCTTCTTCTTTTCCTCCTCCTGCTCCTCCTCTTTCTGCTTCTTCTCCCAAGAGGGTCTCATGTATCGCAGGCTAGGTTCAAACTTGTTATGTAGACAAGGATGACCTTGAACTTCTGATCCTCCTGCTTCTGTCTCCCAAAGGCTGGTATCACAGGTATGTGCCACCATGCCCAGTTTTTATACAGTGCTGGGACTGGGAAACGCAGTACTTCCTGCATACCAAGCAAGCACTCTACCATCTGAGCTGTATTTCTACCTCTGCCTTTCTTCTTCTTATAAAGATGGTGGTCAGATTGGATTAAGTGTGCTTAGTGTCTGTCATAGTTAGGGTTTCTGTTGCTGTGAAGAGACACCATGACCACAGCAATTCTTATAAAGGAAAACATTTAATTGGGGCTGACTTACAGTTTCAGAGGTTTAGTCCATTTTCATCATAGTGGGACATGGCGATGTGGAGGATAGACATGGTGCTGGAGAAGGAGCTGAGAGTCCTACATCCTGATCCACAAGCAGTAGGAGAGACTGTCTAGTGGGCATAGCTTGAGCATAGGAGACCTCAAAGCCAGCTTCTGCTACTCCAACAAGGCCACACCACCTAAGAGTGCCACTCCTTATGGGCTAAGCATTCAAACATGAATCTGTGGGGCCATACCAGTTCAAATCACCACAGTAGCCTCTTTTTCATTTAATCACCTCTTAATTTTGTGTACTTTTGAGAGTCAAACTAGGTAGCCTAGAATGATGTTGAACTTGAGATTGTCTGACCTCAGCTTCTTGAATTCTTGAAGTATGTTGACTACCGTGGCTGGCTTCCTTACTTCATTAAAGGTCTGTTTCCAAAGGCAGTCATGCTCTGAGGATATGGGGGTAAAGCTTCAACATATATATTTTGGGGAGCATAGTACAGCCTCAAACAGTGACCCAGAATGCATAATGAGCTCTTGAACTTGTTCCTTCTGCCTATGTATAATACCAGTTTCTTCTTAGTACTATGAAGTATTCCTTCGACAGTCTTCAGTGGAACCCTGTCTTCTGTTTCATGAAGGTGGACACTGGCGTGAGCTCACAGTTCGAACCAATAGCCAAGGACACACAATGGCTATCATCACTTTTCATCCCCAGGGATTAAGTCAGGTAAATCTGCCAGGATAAGAAACCACTTCTGTGGTAACTCTGTACTATGCTCCTGGGCATTTTTGGAAGTTTTAGAGCAGTTTTATAGCATAAACTACACACATACAGAATATTTGTGTAGAGAGCAGGTTTGAGGATGAAGAGGAGTTTGTAAGAATATAACTTAACCATACTGTTGGCATAATCAAATCATGAAGACTGTGGCTAGGTTACCCAAGACAGTTATTGTACACAGACTCCCAAGTATTTTCCCAAGAACTTTGCTCAAGGTAGTAGACTCTACTGAACCCAAAAGCTCTTTCCATAGAGATGTGCACGTCCAACTTTTATAATCGAAATACTTCACACACTCTGCTAGCATAGTGGCAAGCATAGCAGCTTTCCAAATTATGCTTTACATTTGTAATGCACTTAGCACTTTCAGACAGTGTTCTAGTTTGCTGTCTGTTGCTGTGATAAAAACCATGACTAAGAGCGACTCGAGGAAGAAGGGATTTATTTCACCTTACATCTCTTAGTCAATCTTGAAGGGGAGTCAGAGAAATAATTCAAGGCAGGAACCTAGAGGCAGGAACTGAAGCAGAGGTCATGGAGGAATGCTGCTTACTGGCTTGCTCCCTATGGATTGCTCAGTTTGCTTTTATTTTTAGATTTAAAAATTATTTTAGGTGTATGAGTGTATGCATGTATGTATATGCACCAGTGTGTACCTGGTGCCCAAGAAGGTCAGAAGAGCGCTTTGGATCCTCTGAGACCAGAGTTACAGATGGTTGTGAGCCACCGTGTCAGTACTGGAAATCAAGCCCAGGTCCTCTGCAATGGCAACAAGTGCTCTTTTCTTTCTTTCTCTCTTTTTTTTTTGTTTTGTTTTTCCAGACAGGGTTTCTCTGTGTAGCTTTGGAGCCTTTCCTGGAACTCACTTGGTAGCCCAGGCTGGCCTCGAACTCACAGAGATCCGCCTGGCTCTGCCTCCTGAGTGCTGGGATCAAAGGCGTGTGCCACCACCGCCCAGCTGCAACAAGTGCTCTTAACCACAAAACCAACTCTTCAGCTTTCAGTTTGCTTTCTTATATACCTAAGTACCACTTTCCCAGGGATGACACCGCCCGTAGTAGTCTGGGCTTTCCCACAACAGCCATCAATTGAGAAAAAGTCCACTCGACTGGCATATGGAGGCAATTCCTCAGCTGAGGCTCCTCATTCCTAGATCACTTCATCTTGCCTCCTGTTGACAAAACAACAAAGAACCCCAACCAGTGCAGATAATCTCATTTGGAAATGTCCCTATACTTAGTAGATTATCTCAGCCAGTTTATGAAGTCGGTAGGTGTAAGAAGAACGTTACCACCTTTGTTGTATAGATTATCAAATGGAGGTACAATCACGTGGAAGGTTAAAGAGCCAGGTAACTACAAAGCTAGGATTTGACTCGGAGTCCTTTGATTCCTGGCCTGGTCTTTTAAATTCTGTAGCTCTGACCTTGTTTTATAACCCTGTGTCTGTATGCCAAGTTAGTCTGTAGTTATTAGCAATATTAGAATTCTAATATATTCTGTAGTCAGAAAAAAGGAGTTCATTATTTACTATGTTCATTATTTATCTTTTACATTTAGTTGGATGTTAGAGAACAACTTGACATGAGTCATTTCTCTCCTTCCATGTTATGGGTCCCAGGGATTGAACTCGGGTCATTGGGCTTGATGGCAAGCACCTTTACCCACTCAGCCATCTTGGCGACCCACCACATTCTTTCTTTTCTGTTTTCTGGTTCATTTCTTCTAGGACTCACGTCTTCTGAGGTGATATTTGAGTGGGTGGTTGGGATAGCAAAAGCGGAGAAGTATGAAGGGATTTGAAAGGTTATTTTCTGTGCATGCTGGGACAGAAGCTTAGTTTAGCTCCTTGTTTATAGGAGTAACTCCCACTTTCTTTGGAGAACTATTAGGTTCTATTGTATGGGATTTGTCAGAAGCTGAGAAGCCAAGCAGTGCTTTGACTGAGATGTGAAAATAGCCTGTTATTGTTGATTTTGCCCTGCAGAACATTGCTTTATGCTAAGTGTTATTTATAATAGAACTTGAGAAATGTGTCTTCTTGTCTGACTGCTTCAGGGCTGATTACCGGAGCTATTGGCAAGAGAATTTGTCAGGGATGAGTCTTTGCTTGACTCATGATTTCATGTTCTGGGCAGGAGGAGCTCTGTGTTCAGAAGGTGACCTTGAGGGACTTTTTCACTAAAGGCCCTGGAGCAGTCTGTGAATTGACCTCACTCTATTTCCAGGAAAGGTAAGCCTGGGGCAGCCAGACAGGAATAGAGGCTGCAGGCTTGCCCTAGCCTGGGTTTGTGCTTTGCTGATGGTGGGCTACTGAGAGTGGAGGCCCGCAGGCTAGTTAGACCTGGCTTTCATACACCAGCCACATCTGGGAACCCAGGCTGGAATAGGAAAGTGAAGTGGGGGGGGGTATGGTAGCCTTAAACTTCTCAAAATCTAAACAAAAAGAATATAAAATGAGAGTGTGCACATGTACCTTCCTCCATCCCTCAAGAATGGAACTCATTACAGAAGTCCCAGAACTGTGGCTAGAAAGCTGTGTCTTCCAGCTGAGAGGCTTGGGATGCCCCTTCCAACCAAGCAGTAAGAGGTAGAAAGTTCTGTCATTCTACAATGCTGTCTTCCTTTATTCTTTCCTAGCACCATGACCCGTTGCAGTCATGAGCAGTCCCCCTACCAGCTCCTGTTTGGGGAACCCCACATCTTTGAAGATCTTCTGGGTTTGAAGATCCGCATCTCTCCAGATGCCTTCTTCCAGATTAATACTGCTGGTGCAGAATTGCTGTATCAGACCATTGGGGAACTGAGTGGAGTGGACTCCAGTACCATCCTCCTTGACATTTGCTGTGGAACAGGCAAGCAGCAGCCCTAGGAAGTCTATGTGTTGTCTAGCTCTCAGAAGCCATCGACCCAGAACTTAGGGCCGTTTCAAGGATGTCAGGGGGAGAGTGTTGATGGTCTAAATATAACCATGTTGGTTTAAAACACAAAAATAACTTCTTCTTATTTCTTACTCCTCTAGGTGTAATTGGCCTTTCTCTGGCTCAGCGTGCATCCCAGGTCCTTGGCATTGAGCTGGTGGAGCAGGCAGTAGAAGATGCCAGGTGGACTGCAGCCTTCAATGGTACCTGGATCAGATTCTGGGGAGAAATGGAAGAAATGTAGTTGAGGGGCTGCAGATGTAGCTCAGTGGCAGACTGCTTGCTTAGCATGTGTGAGGCCCAGGGGTCCATTACCAGCCTGCAGAATCAAACAAATAGAAATGCGTTCTTTCTCTGCAGAGGGAGGCAGACTGTATCCCCAGTTACAGGGAGGCAGACTGTATCCCCTGTTACAGGGAGGCAGAGTTCTAGAGCAGCCACAGTTGGATCTTGATGTTTTCTAGAAGAGGTCTTCATAACTTTTTCTTTTTCATTCTATAAAGAGCCCCAGGGAAGTGTAAGCCTGTTGGTAGGAAGGGAAATGACAAAATGTTGGACATAATAGAAGAACATGCTTTACGTAAACTCTGATCATCACAGCCTAATACAATAGGTTTCAAACTTAGAATATTGGCCTGGCATTGGGGTGAACACTTTTAATTCCAGCACTTGGGAGGCAGAGGCAGGTGGATTTCTGTGTGTTTGAGGCCAACCTGGTCTATATAGGGAGTTCAAAGCCAGCTGGGGCTAATGATGAGCCCCAAACAAAACAAATTACAATTTTTAAATAGAACCTTTTGTTTAAATTAAATGACAGTTTGCAATATGGAAAATAGTTTTTCTTTCCTTTATTCTACTTCCAGATAATTCTTTTATCTATTAATTTATTTTTCCGTGCAGCCTAGGCTGGCCTTGAATGCCTTATGTCTTGCTTTGCTTCCCAAGTGCTAGGATTACAGATGGGTGCCAACATGCCCAACTTCCAGACAGTTGTCGAGGCACCAAGTGGAAACTAGTGATGGATCAGGAAGAGCGCTCGAGTGAAAGTCAAGGTTTTGTTGTGGTGTAGGTACTTACCTGCGGTGTGTCTAGTCACTGCAGATGGAAGGCTCATTCAGACTTTCCAAGGGAGAGTACGTGCAGCAGTACTTTCTTTCTACCAAGAGCGTTTCTTTCTTTGCTATTCAGAGGTACACTGGGGCCACAGGGAATGGCAGGACCCTGGCTGCTATATGGTTTTCAAAAACTGAAGCTTCCCGCTTGTTGGGCTCAAGTTATGTCCCATGATCCTCTTCCACAGGTGTCACCAACTGTGAGTTTCATGCTGGAAGAGCAGAGAAGATTTTGCCACAGTTGTTGAAGTCGCAGGAAGATGAGAAGTTAACTGTTGCTGTGGTGAACCCTGCCCGTGCTGGACTGCGTAAGGAGGGAGGGCAACTTGGGTGTTCCCATGATGTCCACCATCTTTATTCCCATACCAGGCTAAGGGGCTCCCTATGAGGTAGCCCTGAAGTGGCTTCTCCTCCATTCCTTAGCAGTCCTGAGTACTGCTCAGCGTGAACTTTGGAGTAACAGACTATGATGGGTTAAGTGTATTAACAAGGTGTTTACTCCTTCAGATTACCAAGTGGTGCAAGCCATTCGGAACTGCAGGGCCATCCAGAGGCTAGTTTTTGTTTCCTGCAAGCCGCATGGTGAAAGCACAAGGAACTTCATTGAGTGAGTCGCAGATTGTTTTTCAATGTTATTTTTCCATGAGCAGAGGATATGGCTCAGTTGGGGGACTAACTGCCTATCATTCATGACACACTGGGTTTGATCTTCAGCACCACATACAACTGAGCAGGGTAGTAGAGGCAGGAGGGTTAGAAGTTCAAGATCACCCTTGGCTATGTAGTGAGTTGAGATTGAAGCCAGTGTGGGATAAGCAAGACCCAGTCTCATTAAAAAAAAAAAAAAGCAAAAAAACAAAATTATTTTTCCTAAAAATCAGAGCAGTCTATGCTTTCTGTGTACAGTTTGGAAAAACTATAGAAACATAAAGAAAAAAATTATACCACTTTTTTTTTTTTGAGACGGGTCTCACCTTGTAGCTCTAGTATAGTTCTACAATTCACTGTGTAGACTGGGCTGGCCTCGAACTCACAGAAATCCACCTGCCTCTGCCTCCCACGTGCTGGGATTACAGGCATGCAGCACTACACTCAGCTCAATATACCACTTTAAAAATAAGTTTTCTTTTTTTCATAATAAATTATATATATGAACCTGGCATAAGTTATGTGCACCTCATATTCACACGAACTCATGCAGGCCAGAAGAGGGTGTCTGATCCCCTGGAACTGGAGTTTCAGGCACTTGTGAGATCCCATGTGGATGTTTTGAACCAAACTTGGGTCCTTTGTAAGAACAGTTGGTACTCTTTCCTGAGCCATTTCTCCAGTCCCTGATTATAGGGACTTGTCTGGGGTGAGACAAATCAGATATTCACTTGGAGTACAAATTTTAAAGAGGGTACCAAGGATAGGCTGATTTAATTCCCTTTGGGCTATCCCAAGAAATGGTACAGATGGCTCAAATGGTAGGCTTATTTTTAGTGTTTTGAGGAATCTCGATACTGTATTCCATTAATTTTCACCCCCACCAGCAGTGTTGAAAAGTTCCCCTTTCCCCTTTCTCCATGTCCTTGTCAGCATGTTATTTTGTGTTTTTATTTTTGGTAGTGTTTTGGTCTTCGGTTAAATTTAATCAAGTTATCGGTGTATGTGAGGAGACAGAGTTATGTCTGCCTAAGCTTCTGTGTGGAGGTCAGAAGACAGCTGTTGGGACCGGCTTTGTCCTTCTTTCCACCTTGGGTGCTAGGGAGCAAACTTAAGTCCCGAGACTTGTGCTTTACCTGCTGAGCCACCTTGCCGGCCTGTGTATATTTGTTTTGAGACGAGGATTCATATAGCTAAGGCTGGCCCTGAACTCGCAATTCTCCGGTCTCTACCCCCCAAGTCCTAGGGTTTTAGGTGTGTGCCACTAAGCCCACCTCTTTCTCCTTTAAAAATATCTTTATAGTTATTTATTTATTTGGGGGTGGTGTGTTTGTGTGTGTATGTGTTCCTCAGTATACAGATGGAGGTCAGAGGACTTAGGTTGTCAGGGTTGGTGGCAAGTGTGTTACCCATGGAGCCATCTTGCTAGCCCCTAACTCCTTTTCCTTTTTAACCTTAACCATTCTAACAGGGAAGAAACGATACTTTGTTGTGTTTTTTTAAAGTTTTAAATTGTTTTCTCATTACTGGTCAAAGTGTGGGGAACAAGTGTTTAGAATGCTTTGCTTAGCCACAGATAGGACATCTACATCACCCCACCAAGGCTTAGGGACCATTGCAAAAGAGAGGCTGGAAAGATGATAAGAGCCAGAGTTCAGGGAGGACCTGGGAGAAACAGGCTATTCTGGACGCGCCAGGACCACTGCCCTCAGGAACTCACAGCGGCTGTGGCTGCCTGCACACGACCTGCACAGGATCAAAGCAGCCAGCATTCTAGCATGGAACGGGGGGGGGGGGGTCCTGAACCCTTACCCCTATATGAGAAGCTGTTGACAGTTGACGGCTGTTAGGGGAAGGAGAGCCTATTCTCCGTGGGGGTATGGCCCCTGGTGGGTTGACCATGTTCTAGTCGATGGTCCCATGTGTATATGGGCAGCACAAATTGGACTTGATGGGTAATTACAAAAATGATGTGAAGTTGGGAGGGGGTCGGGGGTAAGGGGTGGATATGAGAAGAGTTATGGGGAGGAGTAGGGAGGCTGAATATGAGAAGAATATATTTTATGTGTACATGAAATTGTCACAGGATTAATATAAATATTTTATTTTAAAAAGAATTTAAAAAGCCAGATGTTGTGGTACCTTTTTATAATGCCAGCTCTTAGGAGGAGACAGGAAGATTATGGGTTTGTTATCAGCCACATAATGAGATCCTGTCTCAAAAATTAATATGAAAAAACAACCCAGTGGGCGGGAGAGATGGCTCAGAGGTTAAGAGCACTGCCTGCTTTTCCAAAGGACCTGGGTTCAATTCCCAGCACCCACATGGCAGCTCCCAGATTTCTATAACTCCAGTTCCAAGGGATCTGGCACCCTCACACAGACATACATGTAGGCAAAACACCAATGCACATAAAATAAAAATAAATAAATAATTTAAAAAAAACTTGTAAAAGGAACAACAACAACCCAGCCAGGTGTTGTGGTGCAGGCGTTTAATCTGAGCGCTCGGGAGGGCAGAGGCAGGCAAATCTCTCTTGAGTTTTTGGCCACTCTGCTCTACATAGTGAGTTCCAGGCCAGGCAGGCAGGAATACATAGTGAGACCTTGTCTCAGAAAACATCATATATTAGTGAACTATAAAACAAAATGAAAGATACGGCAAATAAATGTTATTGTGAAAAAAATAGGTAAATAAACCTAGTCAAGAACATAAAAGGGTAAAAACACAAACATATAGCCATAAATAATAAAGCAGAATAACTACAGATTTGAAGAATTTGTTTCACTTTTTTTTAAAGACAAGGTCTCACAATGTAGGTCTGCCTAGCTAGGAACTCACTACATAGACCAGGCTGGCCTTGATCTTATGGCAGTCCTCCTATTTCTTCCTCCCAAGTGCTGGGGTAACAGGTGTATATCAGCACACTCAGATTGTTTTCCCAATTGTAAGAGGTACTCTTAGAGCTTGCTTTAAAAATATCTGAACATCTACATGAAGTCTGATTTTTCTGGGAAAATACAAATGGCCAAGCTTAATTCTAGAAAACAAGATAAGTGCTGGATAGATTAGTGAGCAGAGAAAAAAAATGAAAAAAATGAAAAAAAAAATCTCCCACTCAAGATAGGTGCAGTGATGTGTGTATCTCTAATCCCAGTACTCAGGGAACTAAGCCAGGAGGGAAGCCATGAATTTAAGAGAAAGCTGGGTTACATAGTGACTTAGAGGTCAGCCTGGGCTACATAGTGAGACTACCGTCTCATCCAGTCGGGGGGTGGGGGGTGGGGGGGGTGGCGGAGCTTCTAACTCAAAGAAAATTAGGCTCAGTCTCTCCATCGTATTTGCTTGTCTGTTTCTGCACAATTACTCTTCCATTTTTTATTTTGAATATGACATGAAGATGGTATCTCTTATCAGTGGGTAAAAATGGACTAGTTAGTAAATTGTGATTGACAGCTGTATAGACACTGAAAAAGTTGGATTTATATCTAGACTAAATTAGAATAAATTATAAGTGGGTTAAAGACTTAAATGTAAGAAATGGGAACCTATAAATGTTCTCTACAAAACCATAGGATTTCTTTATAATTATCCTGTGCTTTTTAACTGAATATTCAGAAGATATAGAATAAAAGGCAATCATTTATTAATTTTTTTGTTTAGTAGGCAAAGAAATTAGTTTCATTGTCACTTTAAAGAATTTTTTTTAACATTTATTAATGAGGGGGAGGGGCACTTGTGGGAATTCGTTTTCTCCTTCCACCCTGTGCATCCCAAGACTCAAACTCAGGCCATCAGACTTTGCAGCCAGCACCTTCACCAGCTGAGCTATTTCAGCAGCCCTGATTTATTGTTTTTTTGTTTATTTCGTTGTGACACCTTCATCCATGTCTCATATGCTTTGTTCTTATGCACTCCTTCGCTCTCTTTTTTTTATTTCATTAGGACCCTTTCCTTCCCCAACATTGTCCCCATTCTGTCTACCCCCACCACACACGTACACAGACATACACATAGACACATACACAGACACACAGACACAAAATCATGTGATATGTGTCTTTCTGACTCTGGTTTATTTCACTTAACAGTGATCTCAGTTCCATCCATTTCCTTGTGAATGTCATAATTTTATTTGTCTTTAGAGATGAATAAAATTCCATTTGTGTAAGTACCACACTTACATGTGCATACGTGAAAGCCAGAGGTCAACACTGAGTCTGTTCCTCTTTTACTTTTCACCTTATTTTGCCTTTTTTCTGTGCAAATGTGTGGAGGCCAGAGGACAGCTTGGAGGAGTTGCTTCTCTCCTACCATGTGGATCCTGGGGACCAAATTCAGGCCACCTGGCTTGGTGGCAAGCACCTTTATCTACTGAGCCACCTCAGTGGCCCTCCATCTTCTTTGCTGAGACTGGGTCACTGAGTCTGAAGCTGGTCGTTTAAGCTAGACTCACTGGCCAATGAGTCCCTGATACCTGCCTTTCTCTATCTTCTGACCCTCAGCACTAACGTTACAGACCTGTGCTACCACCAAGCTCTGGCATGGGTGCTGTGGATCCAGACATATGTCCTCATAGTTGCAAGCACTTTGTCAGTTGACTTATCTCCCCAGCCCCACATCACATTTTAAACTACTGATCTCTTCATAAACATCTAGACTGTTTCTACTTCAGAGCTCTTGTGATTAAAGCTGCAGGAACCATGGGTGTACATGGGTTTCTGTAATATGCTGACTTCGAATCCTTTAGGTAGATACCCAGGAGCCGTATAGCTGTGTCATATGGTAGTTCTGGTTTTCACTTTGTTTTTGGAGAAACTTCCACATTGATTTCCACAGTAGCTTTACCAATTTATATGCCTACTTGTAGTAAGTAAGGGTACCACATCCTCACCAGCATTCATTTGTTGCCATTTGTTTCCCTATTGTTAGTTATTATGACTGGGATAAGATAGAAT